CAGAAGGCAGAGGATGTCTCAGGCGAAATGCTTGTTTTCACGTGCCCAAGTCGGCCAAGGAGGTATCCAACATGGTTGTCCGCCGCTGGCGCCTCAAACGACCGCATGTTGAATATCCCCTCTGGGTGGGCTGGAACCGTGAGTTTTTACGTGTGCAGGCCATCAGGGGGTATCTAACATGGTGGTCCCGAGCTGGAATCACGTGTTTTCGCGTGTCCAGCCCACCCAGGGGTGTATCTAACATGGTGGTCCCGAGCTGGAACCACGTGTTTTTACATGTTCAAGCGACCCAAGATGGGTATCTAACATGGTGGTCCTGCGCTGGAACCGTGTGTTTTCAAGTGTCCAGGCCACCCAGGGGGGGTATCTAACATACTGGTCCTGTGTCCAGGCCGCCCAGGGAGGTATCTAACTGTTTCTTTTTCCGAACTGGAGCCATGTGCTTTTACGTGTCCAGGCCGCCCAGTGGGGATATCCAACATGGCGTCGGGCCCAACGCCGAATTATCAGAAAACGCACGGGGGGCCGAAAAGCGCTACCCGAACACATGTCCCAGTGATGTTTTCTTGCTCTGGGCAGGGGGTGGCGCTTTGGGGGCCTCTCCAGGGAAGACAATGCGAGGATGCCTCGAGCGGGAGCGCGAATTCAGCGTATCCAGGCCACGCAGGGGGGTATCTAATATGGTTGTCCCGAGCTGGAACCAAGTGTTTTTACATTTCCTGGCCATCCAGGGGGGTATCCAACATGATTGTCCCGAGCAAGGACCACGACCCACGTTTTTACGTGTCCAGGCCGCCCAGGGGGTATCTAACATGGCGTCGGGCCCAACGCCGACTTATGAGGAAACGTACGGGGGGCCGAAAAGCGCTACCCGAACACGTGTCCCAATCCAGAAAAATGATGCTCTGAACAGGGGGTTGCGCTCTGGGGGCCTCTCCAGGGAAGACATTGCGAGAATGTCTTGAGCGGGAACGCGAATTCAGCGTATCCAGGTCGCGCATGGGGGTATCTAACATGGCTGTCCCGAGCTGGAACCACGTGCTTTTCATACTAAGGCCACGCAAAGAGACCTCTAACAAAATTGTCCCGAGCTGGAACACGTGTTTTTACGTGCCCAGGCCACCCACGGGGACCTACCATGGTTGTTCCGAGCTACCACCACATGCTTTTTCGTGTCCAGGCGACCAGCACGACGCTGTTCCCCAGCACGTTCTGTAGCGCGTCCCCTTGGCACGTCCCGCGGTGCGCCCCCGTGGCATGTCCCCTGGCACGTTGCCTGGCGCGTTTTTGGGAACTTTTCGCGGCGCGTCTTCCTAGTATGCCCTCTTGTGAATTAGCTCTGGGGCAGCTACTATGTGCTCAGACAGCTCGAGCTTAAGATCCAGATCAATTCGGTCAGGACTCGGATGCAACGGAGGACTCGATCCACAACGCTATAGAGCACAATCGCGGCATGGCACATCGCAATTCAGCACGGCGCAGCACAGCACAGACCTCGGCACGGTACATCAAGATCGATACACTCACTCAGCATTGCAACCTGGTACGTTCCTTGGCACGTTCCGTGGCGCGTCCTGTGGCGAATCCCCCTGGCACGTCGCGCGGCGCGTCCCCTGGCACGTCCCGTGGCACGTCCATTGGCACGTTCCGTAGCGCGTCCCCTTGGCACGTCCCGCGGTGCGTTCCCATGGCACGTCCCCTGGCACGTTGCCTGGCGCGTTTTTGGGAACTTTTCGCGGCGCGTCTTCCTAGTATGCCCTCTTGTGAATTAGCTCTGGGGCAGCTACTATGTGCTCAGGCAGCTCGAGCTTAAGATCCAAATCAGTTCGGTCAGGACTCGGATGCAAAGGAGGACTCGATCCACAACGCTATAGAGCACACCCGCGGCATGGCACATCGCAGTTCAGCACGGCGCAGCACAGCACAGACCTCGGCACGGCACATCAAAATCGATACACTAAGCATTGCATTTGCCCGTCGTCCAATCAAATGTCTTTGAAACGTTGCCATGTCTTTCATTTCTATATTCCTTTCCGGGTTCGTGGGTCGATCATGTTTGGTGCCTCGGAGGCTTCCGGGGCAAGTCCCGGGAGGTCTCTTGGGCCTTAAGGGGTTCTCCTGGGGGCACCATGTGTAGGGCAGGTAGATTCGAAAGTTCCGGTTTCCTCTCGTGGGCTGCTCTTGGCGCCGTCTGGAAGCCGACTTGGGCTGTTATGTGTGCCTCTGGGCCGTTCTCGGGGCTCTCTGGGGGAACTTTGGACTGTCTGGGGGCTCTCTCGGGGGTTCCTGGGACGTCTTGGGGGCTCGGGGGTCTCTTGGGGCCTTCAAGGGTCCTCCCGGGAGCACCTTGTGTCGGGCAAGTGGATCCGTGGGCTCGGGCTTCCTCTCGTGGGCTGCTCTTGGCGCCGTCTGGGAGCTGTCTTGGGCTGTTTTGTGCGCCTCCGGGCCGTTCTTGGGGCTGTCTTGGAGCCCTTTTGGACCGTCTGGGGGCTCGCTCGGGTGGTTCCTGCGGCGTCTTGGGGCAGGCTCGGAGGGCCCTTTGGCTGCGCTGAAGGAAGGCGTTGAACAAGGCTCAGGCGCACATGCTGAACATGTGCGTTTCCCCTATGAGAACTTCACCATTCTGGCGTTTCGGAGGCTTCGGGGGCAAGTCCCGGGAGGTCTCGTGAGGATCTTGGAACGCTCTGGGACCGCCTGGGAGCCGCCTTTTGAACGATTAGGGGGTGTTATCCTGTCCCGTGGCGCGTTCGGAAGCGATTGAAAGGTGTCCGAAGGCGGTTCTTCGAGCTTGGAGCGCGTTTGGAAGCGATCTGGGAGCGGTCTCGGGGCCCCTGTCCCCCCATGCCCCGCGGAAGTCCCTGGGCGCGGCCAGGGGGCCTCGTCCCCCGGTATATATATATATATGTGTGTAGATGATCTTAATTGTTCACTATCTGTACATGTGTACGGTTGAGCGACACTATACCTACCTATCTACGGGATAACCACGGGGCAACCACGAGACAATCATCGAAACTAACATCGGGACCATCATAGGAAAACATGTCGGGACCACCATTGGGACAAACATCGGGACAATCAGGAACCACTGGGGGGCCTCGGACTGCAGACGGGGGGACTCATGGAAGTCTGACTTGGTCCCTACCAGTGGACGAACTCGCGCAGATTCGCCTCGCCAGCACACGCGTCACGCACCAAAGCGAAACCGTTTCCTGGTTGGGGCAGAAAGACGGGTGTCGAGAAAGACTGTGGGGAAGGGCTGTGGGGATCAAGGGTTTCCCCACCACCCGACTCTGCGAATCGAGAGGGTCAATGGATGTGGGAAAGGGGTGGGACGTCAGATATGCGCGAGCGCACCTAGCTTGCCCTCATCCCTCTCCTCTCTCCCTCTCTCTCTCTCTCTTCCCCCCTCGTCGTCTTGCCCATCAAAGCCAACCCCCAACCCCTATATTCCTTGAAGTTTGCAACCCGTCTTCTCCTCATCGACCTCTGGAGCTCTCCTGGACCTCGTTTTGACAAAGATTTCGAGGCGGACCTGGCCCTGGCGGCACGGGAGAAAAACCAAACTTCCCCGAGGACAGAAATTTCCCGTATGCCGCTACGAACAGCGTAGAACAAATGATAAGAACGAATGGGCGAGCACGAGGAATGGGACGCGGATGAGGAGAACGAGGACGAACAATGGCAGGGGGTCAGGATTGAGAAGCGAGGTGGCGAAACGATGGGACTCCCTATGGGACCACGAAGCGTGTGAGGGGTGTGCCCAAATGTGAGCGGCAACGCCATGCGAATGCCGCTCCTGTGCTTTCTGTGGAGGTCCCTATGGAGCCAAAAGTTTGCCAAAACTGTCGAAATCGGCGCGCGCATGCGAACACGGCCTCTGCTGCCTTCGGAGGGGCTCGCCGCCACTGGGGCCTTCGGTGTAGCCTCTTATGGGGCTACGACGGGCTACGAAGCGTGTGACGAACGTGCCGAATTGGGCGCGGCAGTATGCGAACACCGCATCTGGGGCATTTGGTGGAGCTCCCCATGTGGCCACGACCCGTGTGAAGGGTGTGCTGACATGGGAGCGGCCGCATTCTATCACCGTCACTGGTGCCTTCCGTGGAACTGCCTATGAGACCACGAGGCGTTTGAAAAGTATACCGAAATGGGCGCGGCATAATGCGATCACCGCCGCTGGGGCCTTCGGTTGAGCTCTGATTGGGCCACGAAATATGTGAAAGGTGTGCCGAAATGGGAACGGCTGCATGCGAACACTGCCACTGAAGCCTTCGGTGGAGCTCTTTATCGGACCACGATAATGTGAGGAATGTGCCGAAATTGGCGTGGCAGCAGGCGAACACCGCCACTGGGGCCTTCGGTGGAGCTCCCTTTGGGGTCACGAAACGTGTGAGGGTGCTCCGAAACACAGACGTACGGAGATCAGGGACGAGGAAGTGGAGGAAGGAGCAGGGACGAGGAGGACGCCGGGCACTGCGAACTCAAAAGAAGGCTCCAACTCAACGCCTGCTGGTTAAGAGCAAAAGGATGGTCGATGCGGAGGGCAGACACAAGAAGAGGAGGGAGAAGTGGGAGACGCGTGGCGGTAAGGATAGAAAGGAAGACGCAACTGGAGCCAATATGAATAATAACCCATCCTTCGCTTCTTCTTCTTCTCCTTCTTCTCTGCCTCCCCAGACATCTGACATCATGACTTGTTCATCACAAGGTCCCCTGAACTCTCGACCCCATCATGGGAACAACTTCTTGTCTCACACAATTAGGTAATGGTCCCGGGGCCCGAAACTGATCTATGGAGGTGCAGCGCGCTGGACGTCGTGTTTTCGCCGTGCCGCTGGCCCTTCCACGGCTGAATGGCGGCTGCCCCGCAGGGGGACAGCCCCCCGCCCATCTCGGACACGACGGGGACGGCGAAGGCCAAGGCGACGACGGCTGCGGCGGCGGCGAAGACGATGGCGGCGGCGAAGACGGCGATGCCGACAATCACGGCGGCGGAGGGCGCCGTCGGCGCAGCGATTGGGAACGACGACGAAGACCGACTGCACGCACGGCGAGGACAACGGCGGCGCGCGAGGGCGGCGGCGGCGGCCGCGAGGCGCCCTCGGCACTGGGCAGGGCCGTCCTGCAGCAGCAAGCACCCCCCGCCCGCACCCGGTGCCAGAGCGCCCCTCGGCCCCCACCGCTCGGCGGGCACGCCTGCGGCGCCCCGAGGCCGCCGCCGCCGCCGCCGCCGAGGGCCGCCGAGGGCCGCCGGGGGCCGCCGAGGGCCTCCGAGGGCCGCCGAGGGCCGCCGGGGGCCCTCGCGCAGCGACGGAACCTTCCTTGTTCGTGTTGTGGAAGCCTCTGGGCCTTCGGGGCGGCCTCTCGTCGCCACGGCTGGGTTCCCCTCCGGAACTTTCGGTCCAGAGACACCCTTGGAGCGGGGGCGGCGGCGGCGACAGCGGCGGTGGCGACGACGGCGGCGGTGGTGACAAAGATGACGAGCTTGACCAGAATCAGAAGCGCGACGGCGACGAAGTTGACGACGACGACGTTGTCGGCGCGGAAATGATTGTGTCTCTGGAGATCCTCGTCGCCGCTTCCCGACCCGGCTCGGCTCCCAGAACTGGAAGGGACGCTCTGGGGAGGGGCCCGTCTGCGGACCGACTTTGCGCGGATTTTGGCCAAACCACGACTACGAGGGCGACCGCGATGACGACGAATTGTTTTGCCAGAAAAACTCCAGCTGCTTAGCTCTGGCGGCAAGCTGGGAGAGAACCCAGCAAGACAGATGAGACAGAGCTGCAAGAAACCAGTCCGCAGCGAAAGAATGGCATCGGCTCCGACCGAGAGGCCAAGCCACAAAGGACGGGCCTGAGACGACATATCGTTCGAGGTTGGATCGGGGGCAGACCAAGGCTGTGGCTACGCAGAGCAGACCACCGCAGCGCAGGAAGGCCAGACCGAAGACCCAGGGACCCCGACCGAACGTGGGCAGCGGAGACGACGGGGGGGAGAGGGCGTCAGGAAGAGACTCCCGATACCACTGAAAATGCACATGGGGCGACGGGGGCTTCGGCGAGCGCCGCATTGAGACCAGCGGTTCGCGCAAGGTTGGGCCGATCTCCCGCGCGGATCGACCCGCAGCCACCGCAGCCCAAAACAAAACTGAAAAGTAGAGGCGCCCTGCGGCAGGCAGCGCTCCAGGCCCGAGGGATAGCTGGCAGCAGCCAGCACCTCCGAACGAGAAAAAGTACCGAAAGCGAGTGGCAAGGCTTCAGGATGGGACTCCAAGTGTGCCAAGGGTGCAGCTAGCAGCACAGTGCTCGCAGAGAAGACTGCGCCAGTGCCAGGCATAGGAACAAGTGAAGCGCCAGTGGGATGCGGCGCCGAGGCCGAGCGCGTGCCCAGGAACGGTATTCCTGAGGCCAGAGATCCTCGGGCAGGCGGCCCCTCGAGCGGCGGCCGAGCTGCCCTGGGGGCCGCGCCAGAGCCGACAGCACGCGACGCACAGTGGCGGAGGCGCGGACAGGCAGAGCAAAAGCGCGGGTCGATCGCGCTAACGCCACGGTCGAAGCCACGCCTCCGCGGCGCTAGACGGAGTCGTTCGAGTCCCCCCCTCCCGCTCAACCGCCCAACCCGTGTTAGGCGAACCTCCCGCTGCCCGTAGCAGTCGGTGCACCTTCGACAAAAAACAAGAACTATCCTTGTCCTCCTGGCTCGCGGCGGGCGCTGGAGGGGCCTCGTCGCCTCTGCGAGCGGCGGCCTCCTGTCCACGGCGCAGCACCGGGCCCTGGGACGCGGCAGCTTGCACAAGCTCGGCCTGCGAATGTGAGCAGGTCACGGCTGACGCGTCAGCTTGAAAGGCGGCGCTCGATGAGCTCGCCGCGGCAATCAGGCGCTGAGCAACTGCTGCTCCGCGCCTGTCTTCAACGCCCTCCTCTGCCGAGGAAAGTAGGGGTCGAGGCTGACTCGAGGGAGCGGGGACCTCCTCCTCCTCCAGGTCGGAGGGCTCCCTTGAGTCTCTCAGGACATTCACAGCGCTCGCGCGCGCCAAGGGCTTCCTCGAGACAGGGTGCTTGTCTGAAAAAAACCTGTTCCACTTCTGTTGACTTCTGGCGCACATGGGTCTCGCGCAACTCATGCGCAAGTTGCTTCCGAAAGGAGGCCCGACTGAAAGCGTCGCGCAACAATGGGCGCGCGCAAGAAGGAAACTGGCACCTGAGCGCGGTGGGGCAATGACCGCATGACTCTGTTCAGTGACGAGCATCAGGTAGAACTCTCGCACCTCGCCTCTGCGCTAACGGGCGGGAGTCGCCAATCTGTTGCGAATTCATACCGGGCCGACAGCAGCGGGTGCATCTCCAACCTTGGGAACTCCATTGGAAGCTGCATCTTTCTCGAGCGACGCGCTGCGCAGAGGGGCGTGGAATATGCAGATGTTCCCCATGCTCCTTTAGGCGGGAAAGCGTCCGAGCAGCTTCATTGCGAACAAGAAGACCGAGACACACACACAGACACACACACAGACATACACACACATACGCACATACACACACACGCACACACCCACACACACACACACGCACAGCGACCAACAAACGCACACACACACACACACACACATCCACGTAACATACACCACCACTCACAACCACACCCACACTCAAACACACACACGCACACACACACACACATACACGCACATACACACGCGCAGACACGCACTCACTCAATCACTTACTCACTCACTCAGTCACTCACTCACACACAAACGCACATACACGCACTCACGCACACATACTCACACACACACACACAAACACGCACACGCACTGTCTTGCCATAAGATCGGGGCCGCGGCGGGGTGATCGGCGCCCGCGGCAAGATTCTTTACATGTACGCTCGAACCCCGCAGCCCCACCAAGGCAAACTACACGCCACCTCAGTCTTATCTGCAATTGCGGGGCGTCGGTAGTCGTGGCCTCTCGAATCCAGTCTAAGCGGCCTGGCACTAGAATCGGAGACACTTAATTACCCAAACCTGAATAGAGGCAACTGCGCGTGGAAAGCACGCGACCAATACAACAACCTGAGCCCTAGTGGCTCCCCTCCCCCTCCTCGACCTTCCGTAAACGATGGCGGCGAACAGGGCGACGACGGCGGCGGCGACGCCATCGGCGATGACGGCTGCGTCGACGCGATCGACGGCGAAGACGACGGCGGCGGCGGCGATGCGATCGGCAGCAGCTCTTGAGCCAAAGTAAGGCATCCTTGGGCCGTCTGGCACCTTCCTGGAGCTATCCTGGGCCGTCTCCGGGCACTCTTTGCAGCGGCGGTGGTAGCGCCGTCGCCACCCAGTCCCTCTCCTTTTCACCTTCCCCTCCTCCCTCCCCTCCCACTCCTCTCTCTTTTCCTTTCCTTCCCTCCTCCCTCCTCCCTCCTGATCCCCCTCCACCTCTCTCGAGGGAGAGGAGGGAGGAGAAGCCACCCTCCCTCGAAGATTGGGGGGGACAGAAGAGGGGGAGCCCCCTCCGCCTCTTCCTCCTCCTCCTCCTCCTCCTCGCGCAAGCGCGCCACCAGCGGCCAAGGCGCGGCCAGCGGCAGCAAAGTGGCCAGGACGGCTGGAGGAGGCCATGAGGGCCAGTCACAGGCTGCGACCAGTGGCCAGACAGCTGCACTGGGCCCGAACATGGGGGTGACGAGATGGACCTCCAGGAAGACAGAGCCTGCCCTGCGCGCAGAGCAGGCCAGACGCCCGACAGCCGCGGCCGCGCGGGGCTGCCGAGGAGCAGCGGGCCAGAAGGCAGACAGCCCCAGCAGCGCAGCTGTCGGGGTGCATTGTACAGCCCCAGCGACCAGCCCGCATAAGCGCTTCCGCCCGTGCGGCGTGGCGAGCTGGCCCGGTGGCCCAGGTCAGCGCGGCCGGCGAGGGCTCGGCCGGAGCGGCGGCGGCGCCGGGAGGTCGGCGAGTGCGCGGCCGCAGCTGCGGGGCACGAGCGGAGGCGCCCGCAGCACCGCAGCTGCTTGGAGGCCGAGGGGCAAGAAGCCAAAAGTGCGCCCGCGCGCCGCGTGCGGGGCGCGGCGGGCCGTCCACCCGCCTCCTGCTGTGGGGCGGGGCCAGGCTCGGCGCAGCACGCCGGAGCAGGGGAGGTGAGGCGGCGCTGGCGGCCGCCGCCGCGTGCGGGGTGGGCATGGGGCAGCCGCCGCTCCGCGGCCGACGCCGCGTGCTGCGCACGGCTCGTGCGCGCGTGTGCGCTCGGCCTGTGGGATGGGGGGGGCACGACCCTCCTCCCTACTCCCTCCTCCCTCCTCCCTCCTCCTTCCTCCCTCCTCCTTCCTCCCTCCTCCCTCCTCCCCTCCTCCTTCCTCCTCCTCCTCCCTGCCCCTCCCTCCTCCCTCCCTCCCTCCTCCCGCCTCCCTCCTCCCTCCTCCTCCCTCCTCTCCTCTCCTCCCGCCTCCCTCCTCCCTCCTCCTCCTCCTCCTCCTCCTCCTCTCCTCCTCCTCCTCCTCCTCCTCCTCCTCCTCCTCCTCCTCCTCTGCCTCCAGGCATCCGGCTATAGGTGTCAGGCGCTGATACTAAACTTGTATGGTACTGTTTGAGAGCTGGTGTTTTCTAGCGAGCCCTTATCTTAATAGTCTGGGCCATGTCTTCGGACGCTCCCTGCTCCATAGCTCGCTCCCTCGCTCCTGATCCCCCCTCCCTCCCTCCCTCCCTCCCTCCCTCTCTTCCCTCCTTCCCTCCTCCCTCCCCCTCCTCCCCCTCCCCCTCCTCCCTCCTCCTCCCTCCCTCCTCCTCCCTCCCTCCCTCTGCTCTCCTCCCCCCTCGAGTCTCCGGCGGGCGAAGACGCGACACCCAACGGCCACACGACACGAGCAGTGGCACAGCTCGGCGGCGCTCGGCACGGCGGCGCTCGGCGGCTCGCGAGCGGCGCGGTGCCGGCGCCGCCGAGCGCGGACGGCGTCTTGGGGCCCGCGAGCGCGGCCAGCGCGGCCAGCGCCGGCGCGGCGGCGGCCTGTGCGCCGGACAGGCAGGGCTCGGCCGCTGCGGTCGCCGTCGACGCCACGGCCGCCGTCGACGCCGCCGTGGACGTCATGGACGTCGTCAACGCCGCCGTTGACGCCGACGTCGTGGACGTCGCCGTCGTCGTCGTGGACGTCGCCGTCGTCGTCGTCGTCGTCGCCAGCGTCGTCAACATTGTCATCGTCGCCCTGGTCGTCGTCGCCGCCGTCGTCGTCGTCGCGGTCGTGGTCGTGGACGCCGTCGACGCCTCCGTCGTCGACGCCGACGTCGTGCACGTCTTCGTCGGCGACGTCCACGAGGAGGAGAACGACGACGGCGTCCGGCGTCCAACCTCGCGCCCCCGTGGCCCCCGTGTGGGTGACCTAGCCTACTGTCCTCCCGTCCTTTGCGTTGCTCAGCCCGTGGCACACTTGCTGCAGCGTCTGTCCTTGCCTCCGCCATCTCCTACTCCCGTTCGGCTACTCGAAAGGGTGATCCCTGGCAAGAGTGACCTTCGATGCGCGGCTTAAGGGGGCGCGTGGCGGCCAAATCCAGGCACGCAGGGGCTGCTGCCATCGCATCGCGCTCAACGATCGGGGGGAACTCCAGTGGGCCCGCACCAAATGTCACCCCGGCCAAGGGTAGGTACAGTCGACCCGTCCTCTTCTCGTCGGCCGCCGCAATCGCCCCCAACTCCTGCGTCTCTGAATCCTCTCCGCGTCGTCGTACTCCTGTTGCTGTCCTGCTACTCCTTGGCCCGCAGCCTGGCACAGAGGCACAGTTAGCAGCTTCTCTAGTGCTCGATGCATGCTCCCCCATCCCTTTTGCGCGGCAACTGATGAGAGCCTCCTATACCAACTTGTGGGCACTTGCGAATCGACGCTGGTCGTCGGCAATCGGCGCGAATCGACACTCCATCGACGCTAGTCGACGCTAAGTCGGGGAGCTCTCATCGATCACCAGGCGCTGGCACATGCTAGTGCATTCGAAAGACGGGAATTACGAGGACACGCGAGGCTCCTATGACTTGCTACCGGTATCCCTCTTCGTGATGACCAGCTCCGCCTGTCGCACCACCAGACGAGTCCGTAGGCGGGGCCAAGCGCTTCAGGCTCGGGGGCCGAGGGCCGGAACCTCGACCGCAAATGTGGGTCCCGGGGCCCGGGCCCGCCTCTGGGAGGCCTAAAATGGCCCCGGGGAGCCATCAGAAAGCAATCCCAGCAGCCCCAGACGGTCTCGAGACACCACCAAGACGCCGTCCAGGGGTCTCTGGCGACGCACGATGCGCTTTCAACTGCCCCAGAGGCCCCCAAGACGCCCCAAGAGGTCTTTAAGATGCCGCCCAAGAGCGCCCCAAGAGGCCCCCAGGAAGCCCCCAAGAGGCCCCAAGAGGCCCCCAAGAGGTCCCAAGAGGCCCCCAAGAAGCCCAGAAGAGGTTCGGAGAGGCCCCAAAACGGCCTCTAGACGGCCCAAGAGGCCCCCAAGAGGCCCAAGAGGCTTCCAAGAGGTCTCCCAACAGAGCTCGAAGATGCCACAACACATGTGTGATCCATAGGTTTTTGAAAAAAATTGTCGTTGCCGCCTGTTCCGCTTCCCGACGCTGCAAAACACTCCGTGAGGCTCCGAGGATCGCCCCAAGACGGCCCAACAGGCTTCAAAAGCGCCCCGAGACGGCCCAATGGGCTGCAAAGGCGCCGAAGAGACGTCCAAGACGGTCCGAGAGAGCCCCGACCGCGGTCCAGGATCGGGAACGTGAACAGAGAACCCGAGATCTTCGCCCCAGGAGACCCCCAGGAGGCTTTAAGAGGTCCCCAAGAAGCCCCAAAGAGGTCCAAAAGAGTCCCGAGGGAGGCCCCGAGGGCACTTGAGGAAAATGGCATGTCCAACATGTTTTTCCAATTTCGCCTGGCAGGTTCGCTACGCTTGCCAAAAGGGAAATATCACATTCCCTCCTCCTCCTCCTCCTTCTCTTCTCCTCCTCCGGTTCCTCCTCCTCTGCGGCCTCTTCCACCCTCTCCAACTCCTCCTCATCCTACTTTTCCTTCTCCACCAAGGAAGCCCTTCACCTCCCCTTCTCCTCCATCTTCCTCCGGCTACGTTCAGCCGTGGCGAATAAAAGGGCCCCCGAAGTGCCTTTTGAGCCTGTCTTAATCAAGACGTCGTGGATGGATCGCAAGAAGTCTTGGAAACCGCTTCGGCCGTCTTCGTGGTTCTCGGAAGCCCCGGATAAGAAGTGCCATGGAATAGAGATCCCCAAGAGTGCGACCATACAGCCCAGCTAGATCTTGAGCGCGCGCGAGGCGCGCGCGATGGTCCTAGTCACGATTTACCCAGGAATCGCTCTATCTATCTATCTATCTATCTATCTATCTATCTATCTATCTATCTATCTATATATATACATATAACGGCGCACCGGGTCCGGGGGCCCGGGGCCGGGACCCCGACCACAAATGTGGGCTCCGGGGGGCCCGGAGGCTCGTCGGACCGCCGGACGCCGTCCAAGATCGTTCGCAGGCGGCTTCGAAACGCGCTCCGATGGCTCCAGATGCCTTCCAAGACGCCTGTCATGACACCAATAAGGTCCCAGAAGCCTCCAAGACGCTCCGAGAGGCAGCCCAAGAGAGGCCCAAGAAGCAAAAATCGTGCCATTCCGATGGGAAAACGTATATTTTTCGCATGTTCGCCTCTTGGGTTTTCACCGCGTCCAAGACGGCCCAAGAGGCGCCCAAGACGGTCTACGAGGCCTCCGGGAGCGCTCCAAGGCTGCGCACGAGTGTCCCAGGACGGCCCCAAGACGGCCGAAGAGAGCCCCAAGACGAGTTCGAGAGGGGTCCCAGACGGAGAAAGCCAACCTCGAATTCCGAGCTTCCGGCCCAAGAGGCTCCAGGAGGCGCCAAAATGCCGCCAAGAGGCGCCAAAAGGCTCCCCAAAGCACCCCAAGACGTTCCGAGAGGCACCCCAAGAGAGGTCTAAGAAACAAAAATCGTGCCATTCCTATGGGAAGACGTATATTTTTCGCATGTTCGCATCTTGGGCTTTCACCGCGTCCAAGACGGCCCAAGAGGCCTCCAAGACGGCCTAGGAGGCCTCCGGGAGCGCTCCAAGGCTGCGCACGAGTGGCTCAGGACGGCCCCAAGACGGCCGAAGAGAGCCCCAAGACGAGTTCGAGAGGGGTCCCAGACGGAGAAAGCCAACCTCGAATTCCGAGCTTCCGGCCCAAGAGGCTCCAGGAGGCGCCAAAATGCTGCCAAGAGGCGCTAAAAGGCTCCCCAAAGCACCCCAAGACGTTCCGAGAGGCACCCCAAGAGAGGTCCAAGAAACAAAAATCGTGCCATTCCTATGGGAAAACGTATATTTTTCGCATGTTCGCATCTTGGGCTTTCACCGCGTCCAAGACGGCCCAAGAGGCCTCCAAGACCGCCCCAAGACGGCCCAAGAAGCTTCCAAGAGGCCCCAGGACAGCCCAAGAGGGCCCCAAGACGGCCCAAGAGGCGCCTAAGATGGCCCAAGAGGGCCCCAAGACGGGCCCAAGAGGGGGCCCAGAGGGGGACCACGAACCGCAAGCTCGAGCCTTCCGCCCCAAGAGGCCGCCAGGAGGCCCCAAGGAGGCCCCTCAAGAGGCCCCAGGAGACCCCCAAGAGGCCCAAAGGAGGCCCCGAGAAGCCCCAAATCGGCCCCCAAAATGCTTCGAACCTGCTTCCAGGAGGCCCCCGACAGGTTCAGAGGCTCCCGAGAAGCTACGTCAAACTCCCAGCGAGCGGCCGGACGAGGCCCCCCACAAAATCACAAGAGGGTTCCAGTATTTGTATCCTTCAGCGCTCTCTGGCCTTCTTCCCCCTGCCCCCTTCCCTGCGACTTTCGTTGACTCAAGCTCGCCTCCTAGCTAGAACCTAAGCGTGCGCGAAGCGCGCGCGTGGTTCTAGTATATATATATATATATATATATCGCTCGAGACTCCTCGCGAGCAATGCAGGACTGGCGCTTCAACGACCCGCGCGCTCGACCTGGCCGTGTGAGCCCGTTTGCCCGACCCGCCCGTAAGGGTCCGGCCGCCCGACCCGCACGTGGAGTTCTGCCGCTTGCTTTGCTGCTCATGACCTCCCTCTGGTGAGTCTCTCTCGTGCTCCACGCTTCCCCCTCCACCTTGCCTCCTCCATCCCCCCTCCTGTCCCGTGTTCTAGGGGCTGCGATAGACAACAAAACCATATACCCCCAAGGGGAGTCAATTCGGAAACGAAGGGGGCGGCGATCTAGGGTTTGGGATACAGAAGGGCGAACAGTCTGAAAAAATGGTGGTTGAATTCTCAATTCTAAACAACGAATATGGTTGACCCTCTCCCTGCGCGGTGCCCACTGTGCTTCGCAGCTCAAATGCCCCTCCTGGGCCTCGCACCAACTTTTTACAAGGGGAAGTATTGGGTCTCAAGACTGTGTTGATGGACCCCGAACTACTACAACATCAGCTCCCACCGAAACGTTCCTCACAGATTATCAAAGAATCGCGCTCTCGCGTGTCTTGTTTCGCCGTGTATTCAGACGCCGCGCCATCGACACTCAGGAATCAGGCTCTCGCTCGGACCCTCCTCACGATTTGCTTGTGCTTGTGAATCGTTCTATCGCTTGAGACTTCCTCGCGATTTATGCAAGATTGACTCTTCAACGACCCGCGCGCTCGACGAGGCCGTTTGGGCCTGCCCGCCTGGCCCGCCCGTTAGGGTCCACCCGCCTGGCCCGCCTGAATGGTTCTGCCGCTTGTTTTCCTGGTGCGAACCTGCCTCCTGCTGGTCTCTCTCGTGCTCCAGCCTTCTCCCTTCTCCTTGTTTCTTCCCTCCCCCCTCTTGTCCCGTGTTTTAGGGGCTGCGCCATTTACACGTGGCAGGTAAGGAAGACATATCCCCAAGGGCGGTCACATCGAAGACGAAACGGGCGGTTATATGGAGGGTTATGTTGAATAGCACGCGAGCCGATGAAAGCGAAGAGTCGTAAACTTCTTAACATCGTTTAGATTGTT